CAAGGACCCCAAAAACACCTTAGACCCCAGAGGGTTAAAGACAAAAGGTGAGAGTCTCAGTAATCTGACTCATTTAATTTACAGTAGAGAGAACAGGACTGGCAGGGATCTCTTGCTAGAAACTTTGCTTAACAGCTAATATCATCATCATCATAACCTTAAATGCTAAATTCAATGTACACTACCTTAGTTTTTCATGTTATGTTATGTAAGGACATAAGATCAGCAGATCTTAAACAGATTAAATCAATTAATCAATCCGCATTTGAAAAGATTGATTGATTAATTGATTGATCAGCAGATCTTAAACAGATTCTTAAATTTGTAATCCCACACTTCCCCACCAAAAGATATGAATATAAAAAGTTAATAAAAAAAAAAGCTGCTACAAGGCTAAAGCTTGCCTTAGGGTTGGCAAACTAGCTGAAAAAAATCGTGCTCTCAACCACATGTGAGCCTTGGCTCAAACTAGAAAAAATGGAGAGAAGTTAGTGGGTCTGGTACAAATTAATTAAACTGTACAAATAATCAATCACTCATTCAACATAAGAGAAAAAAAGAAAACAAAATACCATAAATGACTTGTAGATAGAGGACGCACTCCGAAATCAACCTAAATGTTCAATTCAAACAGGTCAAACCAAAACCACAAAACAGAGATAACAAAATGAAAACACAATCATAATATAATTAGACAAAAAGTAAACCAAGTTAAAGAAAAACAGCAGCGCAACCCTTTGATATCCACCGCATGAGCTGTGGAAGGCGGCAAAACGAAACATAATCAGAAAAACTCTCATCTATTTAATTTAAAACAATAACCAAATCATACATAGGCCTACTCAACTCCACGGATCAACGAACAACAGGATGTTCAAATGCCTTCGCAAATGTTCCACTCAAAACAGACAGTAGGGCTTGGGTGCCACGTTGCATTCTGGGACGTGGCGGCCATGTTGATGGCCTCACGAATGTAAATATACAGCAAGGCGAACGAGGAGAAGAAGCAAAGTTGGGAGAAAGACAAGAAAGAAAAAAGATGTTAAAATCCCTAAAAGGATGTGGAATTTACCGAGATAAGTTAAATAGGGAAGCCAGGAACCGGTATGTGGACAAAATCGGCACTATTAACGATTTGGATCCATATGAAATTTCCAACATATGGCGCTTTTCCACTGCTGGTACGGCTCAGTACGGTTCGGCTCGCTTCACTTTTCCACTGCGTGGTCCGACTCGGCTCGGCACGGCTCGGTTCGCTTTAGCACGGTTTGCTCTTCCACTGCAGTTAGTACCGCTTCAAAGTGGGTGGGATTATAGTCTGACCGTTATAGTTTATCCACTCCTCGGCAACCAACGAGACGAACGTCTGCACTTCGTCCACTGACCACGATTCAGCCTCTTCTTTTTTGGAAGTTTTCTTTCTTTCTTTTTTCGTCAAGCAAGTAGTTTTAAAGCAGGTGCTACAGCGCTGGCTGTTACAGGCTATTTAAATCTAGCGGGTTTGATGTCTCGCAAATACAATGACGCTGGTAGTGACGATTCTGTCTGACCAATCAGTGATCTGCAGTGTGTTCACGTCACATTTTAATATCGGTACAGTACCTTGTTTGTGGTGTGAAATAGTAACGCCAAATTAATCAAATTAAGACACACGACTGAGAGGGTGTACATCTACAAACAGTGCTCAGTAGTCCGAGTAGCAGTAAAGGAGGCAATCAACATGGCGGCCACGCCGAGTAATGACGTCACGACGCCCAAGCCCTATAGAAAGTTTAACTGAGCTTAACAAGAACATAACATTGCGATAGCCTTCATACCTAAAAGCTTTCATCGAGTGCTTGACCCGTCTCCCAGGAGACTTTAACAGGAACGGCTCCAGTGACAACTTCAAAATGAAATAAGACAAACCAATTCTATAAACACCGAAACAAACGATACTGGGCATAACAAATCAGCCACCTACCTCAAGTCAACTACGGAACAGGAAGAAGGGCGGGCGTGACACAGCCTACGTTCTAACGTTTCCTTCACACGCATTTAAATAGACAGTCCCTAATTATTATAATTACGCATTCCCATAAAAGGATAACAAAATTAAGCGGAAATCCCACACTATTACACCAGTAAAGTTCTATCCATGTAAACTCGTGATAAAGCAGTATTACTTAAACGACAAGGGAAGGATGTAATTGAAAAAGTTTTTTTTATCTGTGTACATGTGTAATGGTAACCCGTAATGGGCTCCAAAAAATGTGTGGCCACATTAATAGTAGTGGTTCAATCTTCAGCTGGCTGGCAGGAGCCGCTACTGGCATGTCACGTGACCTGTCAGTGGCTGGCTAGTTGTTTCTGGCAGTCTGCCTTTGCCAAATTTCAGAAACCATTGATTTTTGATGACCAGCCGCGGCTGATCTGCGAGTATAACCTGTTGCCTGACACCCTCGCTGCACGGAAATAATTTGTTTTCTTATTAAGAATATAATCTCATGCATCTATTCATTATAATTGATGTTTTGGGGACTGTTATGATCACACTGGCAGCTACTGACGCTTTGCTGGACGCTCATCCAGATCAGCCGCGGCTGACTCCATGAGCGTCGAGCAAAGTGTCAGTAAGCTGCCAGTGTGATCACGGCCATTTGACTGGTTTAATTGGGATAACAGTCCCCAAAACATCAATTATACTAAAGAATGGATGAATGAGATTATATTCTTAAAAAGAAAACAAATTATTTCCTTGCAGCGAGAGTGTCAGGCAACGCGTTATACTCGCTGATCAACCGCGGCTGACTCCATGAGCGTCGAGCAAAGCGTCAGTAAGCTCCCAGTCTGATCATGGCCATTTGACTGGTTTAATTGGGATAACCGTCCCCAAAACATCAATCATAACAAAGAACATAATCATATCAACAGTTGCATAATAAATTAGCTAGAAAGGGAGGAACACAAAACACAAAAACTGCCAATAATCACTGGTTTCTGAAACTTGGCAAAGGCAGACCACTGACAGGTCACGTGACATGCCAGTGGCGGCTCCTGAAATATTTTCCAAGCACATATTCTTCTCGTTCTGACACTTCTTAGTTCATGTACATCTCCTCGTGGTTCTGATATTCACCGCTAGCTAAATCACATGACAGGTTGTAACACTACACATTGTTCACCTGTAGGTGTCGCTATTACCAATTTAGGCAAGGCAAGTTTATTCATTTAGCACATTTCATACACAATGGTAATTCAAAGTGCTTTACTAGAAGAAATTATTATAATTAAAACAGTTTAGAATAAAGAAATTAAAATAATCAAAATAAATAAGAATCATTAAATCAGTTTAGAATAAAAAAATTAAAAATAATATATATATATAAAATACAGTACAAACAGTCGGACAAACAGTGGCACAGTGCTCATTCAGTAAATGCATAGCTAAACAGATGACTACTGTAGGAGCACATCTGATCTCTGGAAGCTGGTTCCAGCATAATAGCTAAAAGCAGACTCTCAGTGCTTAGAGTGAAAGCTGCAACTGTCTTATGGTCTTTTTAGGAAGGCCAGTGAGGAGTCCATTACAGTAATCCACCCTGCTGGTGATGAAAGCATGAACAAGTTTCTCTAAGTCTTGACTGGAAACAAAGCATCTAATTCTTGCAATATTTTTCAGATGATAGTATGCTGATTTAGTTATTGCTTTGACATGACTACTGAAACTAAGGTCTGACTCTAGAGACACACCAAGATTCCTGACTTGATTTTTAGTTGTTAGACCCCTAGCGTCAAGGTATGCATTCACCTTGAGAACTTCATCTTTGTTTCCAAACGCAATGACTTCAGTTTTGTCTTTGTTTAACTGAAGAAAGTTTTGGCACATCCAACTGTTTACTTCATCAATGCATTGGCACAGGGAGTCAATGGGGCTGTAGTCGTTAGGCGATAGGGCTAAGTAGAGCTGTTTGTCGTCTGCATAGCTGTGGTAAGAGATTCGGTTCTTTCTCATTATTTGGCTCATTGGGAGCATAAACAAATTTGCTCCCAATGAGTAAATATGTATACAATATATGTAAATATGTATACAGTAAATATGTGTACAAATACATATTTACTGCGATACTCAAATACAATTTCCAAATAAACATTTATAATACATTACACAACATTCGTTATTAACAAAATAGCTTACCTTTTCATAAATAAATAACTGAAATATTTAGAAAGAAAATACACCTTTATCTGTGACAGCTACACAGAATGTGTTCACTCTTCACTCCTTTCATATCTGCTTATTGCTTTTTTAAAATTAATTTCTAGTTAATTTAATTACTGAAATAAATAATATGTGATTACAAAAACAAAAAATTCTGAACTTTGATTAAAAAAAAATACTTGTTTAATGTATTTTATAGTGTTTAAATATATATATCCACAAAAACATACATCACAAGAGCAGTTAGCCACCTCCAGGAAAATGAATGGGTCTCTATGGGCCTCTGCTGGATGTATATGGTAATTACTTTTTTTTTTCCACAAATTATAGTCATTAATTTTGATCATCACTAAAGTGTTTTTTTTTTTTTTCATAAAAAGTAATATTTCATATGCATACTAATGGTGTAGTTGAGGAGTTTTGTAAAAAATAGTACTTCATATCCCCCAAAACACAGCATAGTTGAGATGAGTATAGATGAGACGCAAACAAAGAAAATGATAGCCCTATATAATTTGTATTATTAAAACGTTTATTTTTTATAAAATCGCTCTATAAATGTTTGCCATATTGACCCCTAAACACCAAGCCAGGACACAGGAGACAAACACAGTATGACGGTTAAATCCTCAATGTGTGTCTTATAGACCTCTAATGTAAGTATATTTACTGTAAACACATTCTGCATTGTTTTACAAATGAATGGATAAGCAACATTCACACGCCACTGATGCTTCCAATACAGATAAACTGAAATTACTGCTATAATTCCTCATTATATTGTCATCTGTGTCCACAGGGTTGGAGTTTGTGCAGAAGTTTGCAGGTAGAGTGTGACTGACACCATTTTCTTCAATACACCAATACTTTTTATAATCTGCATTATATAGGCTACTTTACATCTGAAAATGTTTGTTCTGAAGTTGATTGATAATGTCTGATCTCTCTCAGTGGATGTGACTCTGGATCCTGATACAGCGAATCCATATCTCATCCTGTCTGATGATGGAAAACAAGTTAGTGATGGAGACATTGAGCAGGACGTCCCAGAAAACCCAAAGAGATTTGATGAGTGTTGTTGTGTTCTGGCAAAGCAGGGATTCAGTTCAGGGAGATTTTACTATGAGGTGCAGGTGACGGGAAAGACTCAGTGGAGGTTAGGAGTGGTCAGAGAATCCATTAACAGGAAGGGGGACAGCAGTATCCCGAGTCCTGAGAATGGATACTGGGTTCTGGGTCTGAATGAGAATGAGGATGATGAGAATGAGAATGAGGATAAGAGTGAGAATGAGAATAAGGATGAGAATGAGGATGAGGATGTGGATGAGATTGAGAATGAGAATGAGGATGTATATGTAGTTCTTGATAGTCCATTGGTTATTTTCCCTCTGAGAGTGAAACCTGAGAAGGTTGGTGTGTTTGTGGATTATGAGGAGGGTCTGGTCTCTTTTTATGACGTGAAGTCCAGATCTCATATCTACTCTTTCACTGGTCAGACTTTCAGTGAGAAACTCTATCCGTATTTTAACCCATGCGATAATGATGCAGGTAAAAACTCAAACCCACTGATCATCACCCCTGTCAGTTAAAATAAAAAATAAAAAAAAGATAATAATAATAATAATAATCTGAAAAGATTGCTGTTTTTTTGAAAAAGTAAATAAAAGTTTGATAGACAAAAAGTGCAAAAAAAAAACTATATATAACTTTATAAACAAATATTTGCAGGCCCTCAAAAAAAAAAAAACATCAACTATAATTAAATATTTGTGATGTTGTGTGAAAAAACGTGTGGTCACGCTTTAGATTAGGGTCCAACTCTTACTATTAAGAACTTTTGCCTCAATAAGCTCCTAATTACTGTTTATTAATAAGTAGTACGTTGTTAAGTTTAGGTATTGGGTGGATTAAGGCATTAATATGTGCTTTATAAGTACTAATAAACAGCTAATATCCTGGTAATAAGAAACTTTAATAGTGAGAATTGGACCCTAAACTAAAGTTTAACCAAATATTTAACCACGGCTACATTTGATTGGCCAATTTATCACAAGTCTATTAATCAACAGAAAGATTTGTTTGCTTTTTAAATCCACTATAACATGTTACATATGATTTAATAATATATGGTCAAATTCTACATAATATACAGAATTTTCAAACTTTCCAGAGTTTCTACATGTTATTTTATAAGGAAATTTCTCTCTCTCCTCTCCAGCTGTTAACATTGAACTATTTGTGAAATATTGTGATTTTTGGTTTATGTTTTAATAACTGCAGCATCTGAATAAAGACAAATGTTCAATTCTATAACTGTGATTTCTTGTAAACTAAACAGCTTGGTAATTATTATGCAAATACACTATCATGTAGAGTGTTGTCTAGAGGCGTTAGGAAGGAAGTACAATGGAGTAGTTTTCCGAATGCCAGATGTGATTTATTTTACAAGCTGCCTTTCAAAACGTGAAGTCTACATAATGTAAAAAAACATTACATTATGTAGACTGCCAGGCCGGAAAATCGTATCCAGTAGTGGAACCTGTGCTAGGCTAGTTGCCCATATGTTTGTGATCCCTACGGCGATCCCATATGTATATTTTTCCACGTGTCTTTCCCTTGGGAGACTCCGCCCTGCCGTCCCTGCCGGTGTTGACTTCCCGTAACTAGGCTGGAGCAACCATAGAGACATTCCCAATGTAGCACTGCCCTAATGGCCTGTCCACATCTGTAACTTCTACATGTTACATCCCTACAGGCAAGATGTGGCATTCAAAGCTTTCCTTTCCGCTTGGAAAAGGTACGCTTTCCAAGTGTTATCCAAATAATCTTACTGTACAGGTCAAGCGAAACAGCAGTAATTGACCTTCTCTGTGAAACCCTGGAAGGGTCACCAATAGTGGTGCTTTGGTAGGGATCCCAATTCGTCAGTTAATGTCTGACTTAAGGTCGAATGTGACTGACTGAAAGAGAACGTCTAGGTTATGTATGGAACCCCAGAGAATGTCTAATAAGAGGAGAACGTCCACTCTCAGTAAACTTCCGGGTTCTGAACCGGTTGCAGTTCCACTCTGGGTCCATATGAGGTCTATGGAGCAATACCCCTTAAAATCCACTTTTCTCAGGATATAATTTTTTGTCTAGTAATTTGAATGTTGTTTTCGAAAGGAGATGCAAAGAAATTACAAATTATTGGGTGTTAGATTTTTAAAAAGTCTTTTAAAATGTCAATGACGTCATACACATCGTACGACCAAAGATACTGCTTTACGGCAATCCTTTAGCACTTTGGTGCTTTCGCGCTCTGCACTTTCCTTTCTCTCGAGGCATCGACAACACAGCTGACACAGGTAAACATGTGCTAGAAGAGTTAAGTCCGCCTTAACATTCTGGTCCCGCTTCGGATGCCACGATGCCATCAAGCGGTATCTCTGGTCGTAATCAGTCCTTCACTGACCAACCAGCGTTCATTAGCAGAATGCTAGCGTGTTATGGGCAACAACAACTCAACCTGTAAGAAATCGAAAGAACATAAGTACTCGTTCATTCAACTTTCGACTTATAACCCATGTTGAACTTGCAAAACCTACATTCAAATCGTCTCGGTTACGGATGTAACCCTCGTTCCCTGAGTAGGGAACGGAGACGTTCCGTCGGATGACGACGAATGGGATTTTCGCTTAGAAAGCCTATCAGCTTCAAACAATATAAAACGAGCCAATGGCAAAGAAATGCCATGGGTCTGCGGAATTTGCATAGCGTAACACCGCCTCACCTCGTGGGTATTTAAGGAGAACGCTGGCAGCAAATAGGCATGTTTTCTTCGCTGAGGAGCCAAGACTGAGCTCAGGCGATCCCCGCGGTACAGCGGAAGTGGCAGGCAGACGGAACGTCTCCGTTCCCTACTCAGGGAACAAGGGTTACATCCGTAACCGAGACGTTCCCTTTCGTTGTCACTCCGAGTTCCGTCGGATGACGACGAATGGGATTTACCAGTCTAATCACGCCACCTTCCCAGCTGTCTTCCAGTGCCCTGCGTAAATCTGAGATCCCTGTCGTGAGACTAGCACGGACGGAGGACTCCTATTTAACACAGGAATACCAAGGTACACTGGGGAGCATATCCCAGATCTTTTAGGGAAGTATGCAATTACTGCCAACCCAGAGGGGGGGGACTTAAGAATACACATATGACCCGAGGGATGCATATGGGGAATCACTGGGGTGTCCAGCCGCAGGTGGAATATTTCAACCCCAGGGGTGGCAAGGTGGCTTGCCGAGGGAAAGACACATGCTCAGAGCGGCTTACAGTGGAAATACACATGTGGGGGTAGCTCAGAGGAGGTACCATGCACACGGGAGGCACCTAGCCGACGCGCAGGCAAGAGACACTGGCGCCGACGTCAGGAGTGCTGGAGGAACTCAGGGCTTTCGGAGAAGCTCACCTGAGGAGAATATCGCACGTATCCAGTCCGTAGAGTGGAATGGCGAGCAAGCGAAGACACCTGAGCGGGTCCGGTACTAGCTGGTTGAAGCGAGTACATGAGAGGACACAGGCTCCACTCGGAGATTGTAGAATCTGGCGAATGTGTTAGGTGTCGCCCAGCCTGCAGCTCTGCAGATGTCTGTTAGCGAGGCGCCATGCGCTAGAGCCCAAGAGGACGCCACACTCCGGGTGGAGTGGGCAGTCACACCAAGGGGGCACGGTCGACCTTGCTGCTGGTATGCCAAAGCAATGGCGTCCACTATCCAGTGAGACAACCTTTGCTTGGAGAGAGCCTTTCCCTTCAGCTTCCCACCATAACAGACAAAGAGCTGGTCTGAGGTCCTGAAACACTGCGTTCTGTCTACATAGATGCGAAGAGCACGTACTGGACAGAGCAGTGCCAAGGCTGGGTCTGCCTCCTCCGGGGGCAGCGCTTGCAGGTTCACCACCTGGTCCCGGAAGGGAGTGGTAGGAACCTTGGGCACATATCCAGGCCGGGGTCTCAGGATCACGTGAGAGTACGCCGGCCCGAATTCCAGGCACGCTTCGTCAACGGAGAATGCGTGCAGGTCCCCTACCCTCTTGATGGAGGCCAATGCAGTCAGAAGCGCCGTCTTCATTGACAGGAAGTTAAGCTCGACTGACTGTAAAGGCTCAAAGGGAGCACTACGCAGGGCGGTTAAGACCACTGCGAGGTCCCAAGAGGGTACGAGAGGAGGGCGAGGAGGATTCAGTCTCCTCGCTCCTCTCAGGAACCTGACGATCAGGTCATGCTTCCCCACCGGCTTACCTTCTATAAGATCATGCTGTGCGGCAATAGCGGCGACATAGACCTTGAGGGTGGAGGGAGACAGCCTTCGCTCCAACCCCTCTTGAAGGAAGGAAAGCACGACGTTGATCGAACATCTCCGGGGGTCTTCTCGGTGAGAAGAGCACCAGTTGACGAAGAGGTTCCACTTCAACGCGTAGACGTGTCTCGTGGACGACGCTCTAGCGGGAGTGATGGTAGCCACCACCGCTGGTGGTAGGGTACTCAAACCTGCCTCGTCCCGTCCAGGAGCCACACATGGAGGTTCCAAAGATCGGGACGAGGGTGCCATAGGGTGCCCCGTCCCTGAGAAAGTAGGTCCTTCCTCAGAGGTATGGGCCAAGGAGGTGCTGTCGCGAGGAGTACAAGTTCGGAGAACCAGGTCCGGGTGGGCCAGTACGGCACTACCAAAGTGACCTGCTCCTCGTCCTCCCTGACCTTGCGCAGGGTCTGCGCAAGGAGGCTCACTGGGGGAAACGCATATTTGCGGCCCCACGGCCAGCTGTGCGCCAGTGCATCCGTGCCGAGCGTGCCCTCGGTCAGGGAATAATACAGGGCGCAATGGGTCGAGTCGTGAGAGGCAAACAGATCTATCTGTGCGTCCCCGAACTGGTCCCAAATCAGCTGAACCGACTGGGGATGGAGTCGCCAATCTCCCGGGAGGGGCTGAAACCGTGAGAGCTCGTCGGCTGCACAGTTCAGAGCTCCTGGAATATAGATGGCACGAAGCGACCTCAGATGCTTCTGACTCCAAAATAGGAGGTGGCGGGCGAGTTGCGACATACGGCGAGAGCGCAGACCACCTTGACGGTTGATGTACGCTACAGTCGCGGTATTGTCTGATCGGACTAGTACATGCTGGCCCGAGAGCACGGCTCGGAAGCGGCGCAGGGCGAGCTGTACAGCCAGCAACTCGAGGCAATTGACGTGCCAAAGGCGGTGGGGTCCTGTCCAGGAGCCCGCGGCAGCACGTCCATTGCACATGGCACCCCAGCCCGTGGCGGAGGCATCTGTTGTTACAACAACGTGCCGGGAAGCTCGTTCCAGGGGCACACCGGCCCGTAGAAAACTGAGGTTCGACCACGGGGTGAAGGTCTGACGGCAGGTCGGAGTAACTGGTACTCGGAGAGTGCCGTGTTGCCATGCCCACCTCGGGACTCGGTCGCGAAGCCAAAGCTGAAGCGGTCTCATATGAAGTAATCCGAGCGGTGTTGCCACGGCTGCGGATGCCATATGCCCAAACAGCCTCTGAAAAAGTTTCAGTGGAACCGCACTCTTGCCCTCGAACTGTCTCAGGC